TCGTAGTGATTCGGTCTGGAGCGGGGTTTTTTTCGCACACATTGTTCCACCATTTCCTGGGAAAGGCGCTCGTTTGATTTGAGTTTTCTTCGGCCGAACNCATATGCGTCGCATACGAGAAAGGCCAATTCTTCGCCCATCGCGGCAGATCCGGTAGATGCAAAACGGGACGAATTGCGCGAGCTTTCAATGCGTGATCGGGAAGTTCGAGCGGGCATTTTGCAAACAGTTTGATTACGATAGTTTCGTACTATCCTGAACTGCCGTTTATATTAAACGTGCTATGCACTAGATCCAAGGATAGGTGAACTTGTGATTGTGTACTTGCGTGTTTGTCTATCCGTCCGTCTATCTGTGCAGCCTCAAAACACACCTTGTTTGGACTCTAAGGGCATGTTAGCACAGCCCTGAGTCAATCTTGGTAGCCAAATGGATTACAACGGCTGAACTACAAAAGGTGACGAATTTCGTCCATTGAGGGATTGAGATGGAGGAACGGAGCGAGAGAATCCGCTCTGTACACACACGAACATACGTACACATGAGCAAACCAGTGTTATGCTACCTGTCTCACTTTCAGTCACACGCACGTGTGTGCACGATACAGATGAATGGATCGATTCTTCCGGACTGCAGTACACAACATCCCATCGAAAAGCTACCAGTCGTCTGACCCCAGATGTGCTATTTCTGGTGGTGCAACAAACGACTCTCGATGCAGGTGTGCACGCGGCAACTACCACGACCAGAAACAAGTGATAAAATGTTACTGTGCCTCCGCGTTCCCATTATGCTAAATGTGGCGAGAGAATTTTGTCAGGCACTCCCGGAATGACGATTTCACTGCCTTCTAAAGGTTCCTGAATCTATGAAAATCTATTAGTTCTTGTCTCGGTCCCAGTTGGATCAAAAGTATGCGGAATGTTTTAGTCCACTCATCCAAACCGATAGCAATAGGGTCAACACCAAAATTTTTCATTCACATTTGGTATTTGATGAATGTAGCTCATATGATTGCGGGTGTTACCTAGCCACAGAAACTAGAATATGTTACCTGTGAAAAAGGACTTGTCACTGGCTATTCCCTCACGAGAACTGTTTTGTTTCACGTACACAATGGCCTCAGCGTAATAAGGATCAAAGTTACCGATGAACAAAAGGGCACATCTCTGTTGGCAGTTTGTCTGTATTATGGCCTGCTGGTCCGTTTGGTCAGTGGCGGAAAGTTGATAACCGTAACAGAGAGTGACAACAATAGCAGTTGCAATGTGTGAAAATATCACGGTCAACATCTCAAAATAATTTTATTTGCTTTGTTGAAGGAATAGCACGATCTGCCGAAATCTGATTTAGAATAGATAGATTATCATAATGAAATTCCAGATGGTTTTGACCTCAAAAGATCATTCCAGGATTTTTGATGAACTGCCACATTCCCGTTGCGGAATATTTTGAAGTAAGCTGCATTTATGGACGGTCGGGTCCAGTTCGTGACTAACCAACCGCAATGAGTACGATAACCTATTAAGATCTTGATTCGTCACGATTCTGCCTGCTTTTGATCTGTCGAGGGGGAACACTGCATTTAAGTTGACCAAATTAAATGAGATTTATTCCTGAAAGAAAAAATGTTTAGAAAACTAACATGAATATTATTTCTCTTCAGCAACAGATTTAAAGAAAATGGTATCAGCTTTCTATCTGCCCTTTTCATTTGACGAGAAATTCAATTTCATAAATGGTGATCCAACTGTTAATTGTTAATTGTTCATTGATAGGTAATTACAAAATCACATATTGGTAGGGGTAACGTTGACAGTCACAGTCGTGATGTGATGCAAATCAAAATCTTCGAACTTGACAATATCACGTTATCAAATGCGATATAGCTAAAATGAATTGTAGGCTTTAAAATTTGTCAGTCTATCCAATGATTTCTTTACATAATGTTCTTTTCTCCAGGTTTACTTATAAACCTGTGCGCTTATAAGGGATTACTTCAAGTTACGTCAGATCGGAGATAATAAGAAAGAATGCTCACGGGGTGTACTAAACTCCGAAACAATAAGAAATTTAATTCGGTACGTGAAATGATAAGATACATGGTAGAATAACAAGTCACTTCGAATCCTGGCGTTCCTCAAGAGAACTGAGTCCAATATGCATATATGCAGAAAGGTTAGGGTTGACCATGGGTTGGCCAAAGGTTCTACGAGAATAATATTGAGCAAGCCAAAATCTACTTGAACAACCACTGAGGTGTTGGAATTTAAACTCTTTTCAAATTAGACCAGGGTCAAGAACAGGGATCAACAATTAGAAAGTTAAACTGCACCAGTTTAAGTGTCGAAAAAAGATGCGCGAATCACTGGCGGTAAAACATATTTTCGCCCAAAGTCCTTAATATCAACTGTTCAGTGAAATTTGTTTGCTTAGATTGGTCAAAGATTAGTAGCCTCGATAAGGTTTGAACCCAATCATGGCCACTGAATACACTTCGATATAACTCCCGTCGCACTTATTGAGCCAAGAGGCCACACTGAAGACTATAGATGGGTGATCGTAGTGCAAATACGCTATTGCCATCTTGCTGGCTCCCTGGCTCAGCTAGAATAGTTTACGCAGTGTCAAGGGGTAGCCGGTGTCCAATGCTTAGGCTGAGATCCAAACTAGACTGTTGGTAGTTTCACAAACCGAAGGATGGACTTATCATTCTATAAACTACCAAATAACATAACGTTCTTAATAATAGGTATTAGTTTCAAAAATGTAAGGTGCCATAGTGGTTTCTAAACAAGTAGATAAATACCAGGTTATGTATTGTGATAAACAGACTCACGAGTCTGCTTTAGGTATGTTCAGGGGTTTCATGTGTCACTTTGAAAAGAATCTGAGGTTTTAAAATAAATGCCAGAAAAATGTTGATCTGTCATCGACGAATCTGTGTCTGATAACTCGTTCTTTCAATTTTCTTTACTTCTAGGCAAACATCCAAGAGTGCTACCGCCAGACTACGCAGTAGTAGTTTCGTATTTAATGGAAACATCTTACAAGAGAGCTTTGGATGGATGTCTTAGGCATTAAGGCCCAACTGAGAATTTGGTTGATTCGATGTTATCTCCTAACGATATATCCTGAGAGCTACATGAGCAGGTTCGTCCCAGGGGCGGTACCGAATTGAAATTCATTCAAAACCTTGCTAACTTGTTTGTGTGCCAACGCTGAGGATATCATATTACATTTTATCGCTCCGGGGACACTACTTTTTGATGTAGTGCAACGAATGAGCCTCACTTTTCCCGAATCATTCGCACTTAATTGAAAGAAAATTCCGAGGATTTTATTGAGACGTTAATTTAAAAGTATATTGCAGTCAAGTAAATAGAGCACCGTCTTCAGAAACTGTACTACTACTCTCTTTTTTGAATACATAATGGTGAAATGTTCAGGAAGGAAGAATTGTTCAATCAAATGGTTACCACACAACACAGAATAAGGAATGAAGGCGGTTGCGCTGGGATTCGAACACACGTCCTCAGAAGCAATAATTTGGTGATTTTTATGGATTGGTTGGTTTGATCAGTTGAAGAGAATGGATAGTAGCAGAAAAATCACCGCCGCTTTATCTTCGGCTTTGCAAATCAAAAAGATTACAAATACCACTATGTATCTAGAGCTACCCCCAATGGGAATAATCTCTAGAATGGGCGAAAAAAGTGAATTGCCTTTTCAAAGTGATGGCCCCTCACAGTCGTTGAACGTTCATCGGCTTGATCTTATGAGGTAAACTCACATTAAGGGCTTCCGTGAATATGGAAGTTCTGTATGCAATTCTGGTGAAACAGGATAAATGCTGTTGCGAACTGTACAGAAGTTTCACAGTGCTTCGAGAATCATGATACTCGCGCAGTCAAAACGGAATCAAGGGAGAGGAACAAAATGAATTTGGTACAAAAAATGTACTGTTTTATATTAGGCTTCACTTTACGCGTAGAATCAACGAGCGAATGAAGACCTATGGGAAATTTTGCATCGGCTTCTTCATGAAATGAAGGTTGTAAAAAATATTATGCCAAACGTAAGGGGGAATTTAGATATTTATTCGGATTTTATGATTAGTCTACTTTGAGTAACACTGGAAAAGAATAAAGAGTATCTAAGAGAAATAGAATAACACATGTTCGTTTCTGTACCCGTCTGAATAAAAAACAAGCTAAAAAAACAATAGTCAGTAGTGTCTAAACGGATGAACTTTTAAAGAACATTCGACCGAAATTGCTTAATCATCGACCCATCAACCATATATATATATATATATATAGCACCAACTACGGCATTATTTTCATTGAGTAGCCTATCCACGTGACAGTCAACCGAAGAGCGTAACACTTATCAATATGAGGGTTATACATATGCAGAAAAGAAATTACGTTGCACATTACTCATGTGATGTGACGACCGAGCAGATCAGATCGAAAGCATACGGATCAACATAGTCACCAGGATATGCGGTACGCTTTACGCAATCACATTCATCCGCACGCCATCAATATCCGCACAGAAGCACGCAAATGTGAACACACACACACGTAGGCTCTCCTGATGACAACTGATAAAGAATCAGGCGTGGNNNGAAACGTACAAGTACTACGGAGCATTCTGTGTAAAGTGTGTCAGTCTTAGTTAGCCAGTCAAAGCATCGCTCACATGCACTCGCATGCCGATCACACTAAGAGTAGACGATCAGATAGCTCCGGTTCATTATCTGAACTAAACAACTGAATTCTGAGACGAGCTTTGAATGCATCAACAAATATTTTACTCGTTGATCAGCGTATTTGATTGTTTCTTTAATATTTGGCGGATATTTTGAAACTTCGACGGTGATCACGATCTAATTCATTGAAACTCAGTGGAATTACCCCATCTTTTGGNTGTACATGATCGCCAGTGTGCCCCAGTAATATAATTTTGCTGTGAGTTAGCTATCGACAGATACCATGAAGTCTGAACGGAACGAATTTCGTGTGCAGATCCTGGGCCGAACGGTGCGACATCACTCGGACGAACTGACTGATGCGGCTGTTCAAGAAATATTTAACAAACATCTCCGGACAAATCGGGGCGGTTCCGCCATTGTCTTTCATCCGGATAAAATTCAATTCAAAGAGCAAGGTTATCGGGAGTATATACCGTTCAATGAGATCTCTCACTTTTATGAGAGTGCTGAACATCCAGAGGTTTTTATGCTTCATGTGAATGACAGCAGTACAAATCGTTTCTCGTACGAAAGTTACCAATGCCAATCTGCCGCGGATGTGCGTTCTGTGCGTAACTTACTGTATAGTGTCTCCAAAAACCCCGTTCATTTGTTCCGTGAAGTTTCCTTTACCAAACGCAGCCTTTCCAGTGCATCCTCATCGTCATCTGCATTGGAGCGTTCGGTTTCACGTAACTTCCAGGAACAGCAGCGAACTATTCCGGTCGAACCCAGAAAAGTACAGCCCGTAATGAGTTCCGCCGATCCCCCAAAACACGCACCTTATATCATTCCTATACGTTCAACGGTGAAAGAGTCACCACGTGTAGTACGTCAAGTTCATACGCATCCGGGAATTCAGGATCGTGCATCACGCGTTCGAGTGCGCGGTCGTTCGCCGGTTACCTACAGAGCTGTTTCCACACCTCGGTTGAATCGAGAACCATCGACAGGTCGATCCTCAGGACGTTATCGTGCGTCGGTTTATACGGAACAGTATGTCCCAGTCACCTATCAACGTACTCGTTCGGTTTACTTTCCAGTGCCTGTTCAACCAGTTCAAGCTTTTGAACGTCATGATTCCCAGCGTAGATCGGGCAGAAAAGACTCCCTGATAATCTATACTACCCGTTAATCAATAAACCTTAAATAGTTTGGATTGTACAATCTTGTGTCCACACATGAAATAATATGTACACATAAGCCTAAAAATTGCGAGAAACGAAGGTGACATTGTATTCATACAAAAGTATGTGATTTTTATAGTTTACAGAATTCGTAAACCACTTTATGCTTCATGAGCGATGGTTGCGTTTTACTGGTTACATAATACATTCACCAGGTCCTCCGAAATCCAAATTATTATCAGAACAGTGCGAAGAAGTTTATGTACATTTCCTGTCCCTTTCATTTATACGACAATATAAGATCACAGTTTTAATAAAACAAATTTTTAAAAGCTTTTACCAGCACTTTAAATGTTCAGGATTGACTTCAGAGATACTGCCGTAGTACTAGTCAATTGGACAGTAATATTGATGGCAATAAGAATTTGAGCTCGATGCATCAACAGAGTGTACATTCAGCATCTGAATGAAAACAAAAAACAAGGTTTGTATCAGGCAAGTAACATACAGTCAGTGACCTCTGTTATCTGGTGCTGAAGCTAATACAAATAGTTATAGGTTCAAAAACAAATAAAGCCAATCCCTCTTCTCTGTAGGGAAGTGTTTCATCGCCCATGAAACTCAAAAAAGTGCATAATAATCATACTTTCGACTAGGGGAAGTTTGCATAGTCAACACTAATGATTAGTACCTCGAAAGCGTAATTTTATGGTCAACCAATCTAGCTGAAGATACGTTGATTATATGCAACTAGCTTATGTAGTAATGAGCCCGATTAGAATGAGGACTTCAACAGAACTAGAAAGCATGTATTTTGAAACTGATAAGGGACGTCAGCACGGCAACTATGACTGTCTGTGAGAGATACCGGCTTTTTTGAGATTGAAACAATGTCAGAAACAATAGGAAACACTCAATCATTAGACGATCTTTGCACCTTAAAACATTGAAACTGAAAAAGACAGTGATAGTTCATAACTATAGAATGGAATAATAGAAATTGCTATGTATACATTGTTATGATGTCTCTTAGTTACCATGTGGAATAGAATGATTTTATCGTTAAATGAATTGAATTTCTTCCTGTATGAGACATACTTGACGATATAGTTTAGCGTCATCGAAAGAACGGTAGGTGAGAATTTCGCGCTCGGGAGGCTCGGAATTCATGACAATCCTTTTACATTGAGAGGGAACTAAAACAAAGTCTATTAAACGTTTGCGAATGAAGATGCAATCTAAATTGTATGGCACAAGCAAAAAGAGAGACTTCGAGGATAACGCACTACTCATCATTGTTAGAGTAATATTTAAGATAAACAACAACCATGCATAAACCCAAAGTTCCAGTCAGAGTTACTGACGCAACGATGGTTAAATAACTGATCTTGAAACATAATACGAAAAAATGGCCCAAAGTTGAGTTTTATGATTTGAATGCTTTCCGTTATTCAGGGAAATTGTATAGTAGACCTGTAGCGATTGCTTCTTCAACTCCCAAGGTTAACTTCAGCAACTCCTCGAACCCGTTTCTGTCTATTGTCTCCCCGGCCATATAAATGATGATGATGAATCACCCAAATGATGCATCGAAGGTTTGATCACAGTATCATATTTTCATAAACATTTATTGTAATTCAATACCCTATTCCCATGCATTACCCAGCACGTACAGATTAACGTTCCCAAGCGTACAGAGCATTAAGGATTTGCCACGGAATGGTGCGCATCATGTCTATCGTGATCGTATTGTAATACATTGAATAACATCACACCCCGCATGGTAAATATGTGTTGCTTGATCTATCACACGAAATCCGCTTTGGACCAACGGGCAGCATGTGACCTATCTGCTGTATACAAATATGTCGCACGGCTGACATCGACTGATTGTGTTACGACCTCATTTAGCTTTAAAGATGTTTGCTCAAGACTGTCCAGAATTTGGGCCTTTGATGATCTGCACGCCTAAGAAGCCCATTTCCGGAACTGTGTGTAATGGTGGCAATTGTATACAAGGAACAACAGTTTTGTTTGCATGTAGAGCAACCTCCTTGTGAATTATGAACGAAGTTGGCTTGAGATGGCTTCGTCGCATTATTTCAAAAAAACAGCAGAGTAAATTATTCTGATTTGGTTCACGTTGCAGTGCCAAATGGTCACATATGTGCCACTGGAAGCACTGGAAGTGTGATGGACAGCTATTTCATCTAGCTTTTGAAGAACCATTCCTAACCCATGCATATCGAGTGGATGGGGGTTTGAACCCGGAAGTTGTTCGCTTGGAAGCCAGGGGTTGTACTCAGTGTCATATATAAAATAAACGAGAAAATCCATTTGGGTGACGTATGGTGTGGTTTGCCAACTTGCTAAAACGGCAAACATGGATACAATGAGTAAGTGAACCATTAAAAACTCTGAACACGATTCAAGTGTTAGATGTCGTTGATTTCACAATGATAGTATGCCTTAGTAGTTAGCAGATAGCCAAGATGATCTGTAATAGATGTTCCTTTGCTCTATCAGTTTATGTTCTAGCAGGAAGATATGGACTGTCTTAGTGGAGAAACCTTGCAAACCCGGAATATTGGCCTTAGTTGAGTTGGTTTATAAGCCTTAATGAACAACCGAACTGATCAAACGGTGAGAACACAAAAAACGTATAACGACCTCTTTTTATAACCATGTGTATGCAAGTATATACATATAATATATTAATTCACTAACGTAAATCGTTATGGTTCCTCACGAATACGACGGCTGGGTAAAAGGTTTCCGGATGTACAACAGTTTTTATTTATTTATTTATATTTATTCTTACACAAATAGCATTACATTTTCTCGAAGTATTCTCCACCGGCGTTCATGAACAGTTCCACGCACTCAAACCATTTCGTGAAACGACTCGGTTATGTCGAGACGGGTAACCCTTTGAACAGTTTAATTATGGCCTCTACTTCAGCTGTTGGTGACTCGTATCGGACTCCTCGCGTCATACGCTTAATACAGAGCTTTTTGAAGGCGCGTTATCACCATAGGTAGCTTGCAAACGAGTAACTCTGTGCTGCTGCTTTAAACCACATTTTTGGTAGTAGAAAATTGCCCTCAAGTGAACTAGACTGAGTTCCATCCTTACAGTCCGATTATAGCCACTCTTATGACTTGTGAGTTGTGCTCAGTTGTTGATATTTGGTTGTGTAAGTTACAATAATTGAACCCAACACATTAGATTACAGTTCACGTTTTCCTCTCCCAGTAATCCGTACCTCGTAAGCGTACTGCGTACCTGGAAACGTTTTTCTCAGCCATCGTAATGTTAGTTTAACTAAGTGCCCACAATTTGGTGTTGCGGGGGCTTATGATTGATCAGTTGTTAGCTGTCGGTGGAGATTGCCTAATTGCTTCCTCAGAGACGGGTTTGCGGAAGTGGCTGACTATTACTTGGGCCGTAGCCAGACTAATCTTCATCTCTCTTTTGAAGGGTGTTCAGGGATCGGAATACTGGTTACATTTACGCTGTGAGTTGTGTCCTCAGGGTGCAAAAGTATGACATATTTGGGATCGATTAAATAACTTCATTCGACCAGATACCTAGTGGCACGTGTAGTATAATTAGCTCAACTAGAGCAAGTAAATCGATAGATACAGAAACAGCTTGTGCAATCTGCTGTTCAATCTTTCGAATGAACATAAAACGATGAACTGATTTTAGAATAAAGCGAGGAGTTTATCTGCAGGAAGCGCTTCACGAATGTTCTAACATCTTTCCATGTGTGAAATCTACTGCGACGTATTGTTTAAATGATTCAGGGTTATTCAAGGTCTTTTTCTCCTAACTCCCTATCTGTCGCTAGCCATACATGTTGAATACGGATTTAACTAGATAAAAAAAGTACTAAGTACTTACCATTTAGCCTCCTAACGAGCTCATAGACGAAATTGCTTTCCATCTCATAGACCAAAAGTGCTTTCAATGGTAATTCAACTTAGTATAGTTTGATACAGATATACATACATAGGCGAAGCCAAACGTTTGCAGGTCTAGGACACTTTTGCACGTCGATTACCAAATGAAGAACATGATGTCGCTAGAGAAATCGGGAGAACGGATAACGGAAGTTATAGTGCTAATCACAACAAAAACCTAACTTTGACATAAGTGAATACTTAATGACAAGATTCAACTAAGATGTTTGAGGTATAGTTGAGAGTAATATCATCATCAGAAACGGTGTGTGATTTTTCATCAGGTGCTGGGATAACACCGTGGCGTTGATCGGTGTGGCTTAACCATGGCCAACGTGGAGCGAAGCAAGATGAGATAACTTGAGCGAACGAATTCCACGCAGGAAGTTTGCATTTCGCCTGACAAGAAGAGTTGGATATAGGGGACTAGAAGTCGATACTGCAGACTCACTAGAAGTACAAAATGTTTCTATAAACTGATACGAAGATGGACTCGTGGCTCATCAAGCTTGGTGGCAACATCTGGACAAAGTCTGGCTACTGCTATTGAAATAGATAAGACGTGTTGTTGAACCATGAAAGGCAATTCCAAGGTGACGAAATAAAAGAGATTTACAATGATAGAGGGTGAGCAACCTAGATAACTGATAACGGATAAGTACGGGAAAAGGACGTGAAGGAGCCCCATTAAAAGCATGTTAATAGTATGTGCGCCTAAAAAGGTATTTTACTTACCAAAATGCATCTATAACTGATGGACAAGAGGTAAGTATCAAGAACCTAAACCAAAATTACTGAATTAGACAATATGTATTTGGAATTTGTAATAATTATAGAGTGATTTTTTTAAGTCACCAAATGAGATATTTTTCAGAACTCCTAACCTCATATTCCGCTGAACAAATGCGTGTAGATATCTGTTGGGCACTTTCTAAACTCTTCGCAACGATACCTCAATAAATAACATAATATAGGGTTCTCTGTTACGTGTGAGGCTTCTGTAGTGAAAATGAAACCATTTTGTTAACCATTAAAATAATCT